GGCACGATGTGCCACCTTTCAAGCTTCTCTGTTTAGATTCCATTTTCGTGTACTTCTTTAAATACAGTAGCAGCAAACAGAGATTTATATGATGATAAATTCTCTCCTTGAAGATTAAGAGATGAGCAGTAATCACAGGTAGCGTTATTTGCCCACACCATAGTCATAAAAAGAAAACCACGGGTTGAAACAAAGTGGACAAAAAAAAAAAAAACTCCTTTAACACTTTCTTGGGGATGTAGCAGTGAGGATACCTGAACTATCCTGATCTGAACTTCTAGTTTTGGAAGAGACTATTTAAAAGCTCTGATAACATAATTTTCCATGTAATTAGGGCCTTAGCAAGTGTTGATGAGAAGCTGTGCTGTTGTTAGAAACACATTTCTGTCATTGAAAAAGAGAAGAGGTTGGCTGAAACCCAGCTCTGAACCAGTGATCTCTAGATCATCTGTCTAATGGACTCCCTACTGTGCTTTTTTAGTTGTGATGAGAGATTGGGAGGAGGAAGGTGATGGCAAAGGAGGTTCTGGATAGATACTCCATGCTAATTCTACTGGGAAGATTTTGTTTTCTTTTGGTTGTTTGATTTTATTTTACATGCCATTCTTGCAACTCTGTCTATTGGTGAAAATGAAAAGGATTCTGGAAGAAAGAGAGAACAAAAATATTCATATAAGGTGGTAGACTGCAGGAGCTGTTATCATGGCCTAAGCCTGTGTGGGTATGTCTGTACTGCAGTAAAAGCCCTGCAGCACTGAGTCTCAGAGCCCGGGCTCCAGCCTGAGCCTCAATGGTCTACACTGCAATTTTATAGTCCCGCAGCTTGAGCCCCACAAGGTCAAGCCATCTGACCCGGGCCAGCCACGGTCAGGCCGTGGGTCTTTTATTGCAGTGTAGAAATACCCTGAGGTTACTGGCTAACACCTTTGGCTTGCTGGGCTGGCACCTTTTTCCATCTGGATGATGTGAAACAGGCTTGATGTGGGCACAGCGGTGAAAAGAGGACAGACACATGAATGGATTTTAATCAGCAAGCCACAACTTTTATTAAATGTAAACACAGGGGAGGGGTGTCACATGACCAGCATCCATACCCTCCTATACCAGGTATTTAATTGGTTCCAGTGCAGGAGTTACAGGGCTCCTACCATATAATCCATAACTTGGGGTAGACTGTCCTCAGCCTACCCCAGACTCAGCTCAACCTACCCCCCCCCCATCTTCCTCAAGGGGGACAGAGGTTGCAGAAGGGTCATGACCTCGGCCTGCAAGGGCTACAAGGTCTCTCCCTATTTCATGAGCCCAAAAGCCATCACCAACATTCCAGGTCTTTTATCTCTTGGAACCATTCATTTTATCCTTTTCATTGCACTGGAAACTGTCCACCAGTTGCAACAAATTAACAACTCAACCAGATATCTCAGTTGAGTACCAAGCACATTCCTGCCTAACCTGCTGTGACTTCAAGGTGCTGCAAGGCAGGCAAAAAACTCCCCAGTCATCCACACTCCTCCCCCACCCCCAACTGGCCAATGGCTGCCACAGACTCCAAAGGGGAAGGAGGAGCTATTGTATGTCCCTCAGCAAGTGTCTCATACCCTTGCCACTGAGGCTGTCCCCTTTTCATCTCTGGTCCCATCAAGTTTCCCCACCCACTGAAGTAGGTGGGTGGCATTTCTGTTATGAGTAGCATCTGGGCTGAGATCAAAGCACAGGCATTTGTGAAATAATTTAATAGGAAGACAATGGAAATTATTTACTAATGCTCAAGGGATGGTGGAAGGGAGAGGAAAATATAATGCATACCCGCTCTAAACTATCATGATATCTGCATTAACCACAATATTTGCAATCCTGTTTTTCTCTCAGTCGTGTTCAGAGGATTGACTGGACAATATTTAGTGAAAGTGAAGCTGAGGTGTTGAGTGAAATATATGTTTGCAATATAAAAGAGAATATTATAATAGTAGGGAGACCGAATGGGTTTTCTTCTGAGATTACAGAATGATTATGGGAATGGTAATAGATTAACTCATGCGAATTACTTGGTATGATTTCTGTGTATGTGAATGTACATATTTACCCAAAATATTTCAATGTACACAGAGAGAGAGAAAGAAAAAGAGAAAACGATTCAAATGTGAAAACAAATGAAAATTACCAGAAATTTACATACAATGTGAAGAAAAGTCCTTTTATCCTCTGTAACTCTAGCATTTGGCAGATTCAGGAATAAATAATCTTTTGTGGCAAGGGTATACCTTATCAAACATATGCAGATAAGTGCTAATTAATGCTAATTAAGGTTTCCTGTCTATCTAGTTGGAAAAATGTCCAAATGTTATGAAATCCAGTTAGTATGCCTATTACCCTAATTGTTTTATAGGGGATGGTTCTTAATTAAAATATGTAAATTGACCTTAATTGCTATATACTAATGGGGGTTCATGTTATCTCACTAAAAGTGACAAGATGGTGAGGAGGGGTACTTAAACAAATAATTCTGATGAAACCTTAACTAGCTGACCTTTATTCAAAATTATTTTTAATTAGAAATTGGCAAAAGAAGCATTTTTCCATCTATGTTTCTCTTTAAATTTAAATAATGTCAGAATATTACCGATCTTTAATATAGATATAAGGCATTTGTGAATTATAGCTTAATTATTCCTAACAAACAAGTTAATTTTGTATTTGTTTACTGTTTGTTATGAAATGATGTGATGATCTTAGATTAATCTGAGGGGGGAAATTATGTTTTACAACACTGGATTTGAATTTGTAGCTACTATTTATTTATTTATGTATTTATTTATTTATCTATCTTTCTTACTCCATCATTATGATGTTGAAGTCTGATGTACTGGTACTGCTAATACCCAGGTCCTTTTCTTTTGACAGCTGAAGCTCCAATACTGCTATTACATGCCTGGACCACTTTTTCTCATATAGACCCCCCTTTGACTTTACTGTAGTATAAAACTCAGGGTTTGCCTTTACTGGGATGCAGGGCTGTGCCTGGGTATATGCAGTTGAAGGATTGGGATCTACATGAAAGTTTTTTTGTACAATCATACATAGAGTCTACTTTAAATCAAAAACAAATTGTTTAAATTATACTTTGTATGTGGATTTTCTTATATAGTTTAAATAGCTTGAAGTGGTATGTTTACACTTAAAGAGCAAAATGTGTACTTCCAGTCTAAACTAAGGAAAAACAACAATAGAGAACATAAATAAAGTTGTCATGAGAGAGAGAGCTCTGTGTTTGTGTGTGCATATCCTCTTTCACAGGCTGTAGTAACTCTGAGAACAAAATGGCTGCTGAACTTGCGACACAGAAATTTAAAGATATAGGAGATAGAAAACAAAAGGCATTACAGTCTCATATCTGCATATACCACAATGAACTGGCATAAATATAATGAACGTACATTTTCTACAAAATTCATTGGCTCACAAAAACCTATGTAGGCCCCTCTGCATACCAGGGTGTCTGCACCCCCTGCCTGCTGCAGAGGGGACATAGCTGGGATACAGAGGGGCTCTTTAAATAATTTTGTATTCCAGTTACTCTCAAACTATACCTCTTGATACCTAAAAACATTTAAAAGTAATGCTGTTACCTAACACTTCAGCATAAACTGACCAAAAAAAGCTAGTAAATATAAATCTACATACAGAAAAGATGCATCTATTTTATATAGCTCTTGCCCATTTTTGGTGTATTTGCTATATTATAGTCCAAAATACATTCATTTGTGGCCCTTGATCCATAATTACAGAGATGCAATAACCCACTACACCTAGATAGGGGGGGGGGCAGAAAGTAACCAATCACTATAGCAGTCTGTTCACTAGACAGTGCTTCTCAAAGCTGGTCCACCGCTTGTTCAGAGAAAGCCCCTGGCGGTCCGGGCCAGTTTGTTAACCTGCCGCGTCCACAGGTTCGGCCGATCGCGGCTCCCACTGGCCGCGGTTCATCGCTCCAGGCCAATGGGGACTGCGGGAAGCCGCAGCCAGCACATCCCTTGGCCCGTGCCACTTCCCGCAGCCCCCATTGGCCTGGAGCGGCGAACCGCGGCCAGTGGGAGCCGCGATGAGCCGAACCTGCGGACGTGGCAGGTAAACAAACTGGCCCAGACCACCAGGGGCTTTCCCTGAACAAGCAGCGGACCGGTTTTGAGAAGCACTGCACTAGAATAGTGTTTACACTGCACCAGTGTTTGGGGAATGGATTCCATTCCCACTCCCACAACTGGCACTCTCAATAATAGTTTAGTCAGTTTCATCCTTAGGACCAGATTCTGCAATTTTGTGCATGTAAGTAACTCCCAGATAACAGGGGCAACCAGCTAATACAGAGGAAACAGTGAAACCCACTAATGAATGTGTGTTACTGGTCCCCGTCTCTGCCAATTTGGAGAGGATGAGTTGACAGCCCCTAGCTACAGAACCTTGGCCGTTAGCTCAGGCAGCTCATGCTTTTAGCTCTGGAGATCCCCTGTTCAGTCCCCAGTGTGTTAGGCAAGATAACAGCCATCGTGTAAGTGTGGGCTCATCTAGGATTTATGTGACAGCCACCATCTTGACTGACACACCAGGGATTGAATCAGGGACTTCCAAAGCTAAAAGCATGAGCTGCTACAGCTTGAGCTTGGTAGCTGGGATCTGTAACGACTCATATCTTCTGTGATCAACATGGGCAGGAGGGGACTTGCAACTCACCAGTGGATTACGTTGGCACAGAGTGCTCTGGAATGCATAAAGCAATCAAACTGGGGGGAAAAAACAACATTGTTTTACTTCAGTCTCTAATCTTAGATGTTACTTGCAACAAAAGTGCATATAGAATTTTGGATGGAAGTGTGTTTTAAATGGATGGTTTCCCTTTCATTAATACATTGTAGTATATACACCATTTATAGACTCTATAGGAATGTGATTTTTGTTTTTTACTTTGTAAATCAATCTGAAAGTTTTTTACTGTGTTTTAACAGGACATTGTAACTAATGTTTCTCCAAGAATTATACGTGGAATTACATCAGGCCCCATATATGGCCCAGGTCAAGGCTCTTTCCTAAATATTGAGCTTATCAGTGAGAAAACTGCAGAATATTGGTGTAAAAGTGTCACTGAACTGAAGGCTGACTTTCCCAACCGAGTAAGTACAACTCAAACATAAGAATGCTGTATGTATATTGAAAGCATTCAGTTTATAGATTCATAAATATTGATGTATGTAATATATTTTATTAAAGAATCTGCCAATCGCTTTGCTGTTGTAAAAACAGACTACAAAAAACAAAAAATAAAAAACACCCACTTAAAAATTCATCAGAACAATCTCCACGATAGGGTAAAAGGATGCTACACTGACACCACACAAACAGATGAAAAAAGAGATGCATTAATACTTGTTTTGTTTCGCTGATTTTGCACTCATGTGGAAAGTCTCCCAGCTGGGTGATGGTGTTGGGTGTCTGTGCACCAAAGTGTCTCCAACACCAGCCCTGCCCAGAATGCCATTTTGGGGGCAGACAAGGACAGATCCAGTGGCCCCAATACCCTGTGCAGCTGGCATAGATGGGGTACAGCCACTACTCTAGCCCATTAGAGTAGTATTTTTGAGATGGCTGTGCATCAGCCAAGCACCCTTGTGCTAGGTTCGGAGTGGAAATCACTTCCCCGAGCAATCTGCCCCCAAACTTTACAGAGCTTGAAAACTCAAGATTTACATGGCTGGAATGGATTTCTCCCTTCACAAGCATTTAGCTTAGTCTGATTCTGCTCAGTCTTCTGGGTACTTCTAATTCCAATTAAGCGTGATTAGAGGCTTAAAACAATTAACAGCACAGTGACTCCCATACTAACAGTACTTCATCTTATTTTCATTGTCATTCACTCATCACTTGGTACAAATCCTTACAAGTATTCAGTCCAGTCAAGAATGAGTTTTAAGTATCAGCAGAGAGTACATAATCTGTGACATACTGACTATGGATTGTCAATAAATCAATATTACGTGACCAACAGAGGTAAGGGAGTTGAGTTTGGGTTAAGAAAACTCCATTCAACCAGACAGAACTACTCATCCCTGAGAATAACCAATCATCATGATAGGCCAGATACATAATCAGCATGACCTGTGAAATGCCTAGACCCTTTAATCAAGACTGAGCAGGTGATTTAGGTCCCATAAACATAGGCCTGGTCTACGCACAGATAATGTACCAGAATAACATTTTCTGTTCGGGGTAAGATTTTTTTTAGCAAATTTTTAGCAAAATAGTTATATCAGTACAACCCCTAGTTATACTCCAAATAAGCTATACCACTAGGACTTCCCAAGTAAACAAAATTTCCATTTTGCAAGGACTTCAGAGACCTTTCAGAATTTTTCATTAAAGAGAGAGAGACCTCAGAACAGCCAATAGTCTGGTAGCTAAGGCACTCACTTGGGATGTGTGAGATTTAGGTTCCAGTCCTTGCTCAGATTCCGGCAGAGCAGGGACTTCAAACTGGGTCTCCCATATCCTAGGTGAGCACCCAACCACAGGGCTATAGAGTCAGTCAGTCTTCCTCTGGCGTAGTGAATATTTTATTATTTATAGATACTGGAACAGTTCCAACCAGGGGCAGGGAGAAATCACCAGTGAAAGATTGACTCTGTAGTGTGTAGGGCACTCCCCTGGGATGTCAGAGACTCAGGGTCAAGGTCCTGCTTTGCCTGGTTCAGAGCACAAACACATTTAACTTATGAGAGGAACTTCAGAATTTTAGGTAATGGCATTCAATGCATTGGAACCATTTTTAGGATACACTCTCTTTTCTCTTGTTTATCCATCTCCTCTGCCAGCTGCTACCAGGAAAGGAGTCATTGAAGCCAGGATTAATGAATCCATGTGCTGGCAGAAACAAATGCCTTGTCCATTGAGTACTAGTTATTTGCCTCAGATGAAACTTCATTGTTATGTGTGGAATTAAGGAATTGCAAGAAAGAGAACACCAGCAAGTGGGAGAATAAACTATAATGTAATCGATTTCCTCTATCTAGAGTGTACAAGAACAGAGAGAGAAGAAATATTTGTCTACAAATATATTTAACCTTCCATGAAACCAGAACTATAATAACAAGTTTTTACATATTTAAATATACTTTTTAAACAGGCTAACACTTTTTTCTTGTTTGTACTACCTCCCATTTACTGTATTTCTATGTTTCTTCTATTTCTTCAAAGCAAACAATATATAGTTTTCCTGTTATCTGGCCCTCATTCCTTGCTTTTATTATGCTTTCTTCCCATTTTCAGTTTTCATTCCTGAAGTGTGAATACAGGTAACTGTCAGGAAAAAAGTGTGAGAATGTCATGAATCAAGTAGTTGTAGTTAAATGCAGAGCAAATGTCCCATTTGACCTAGATATTGCTGCATGTGGAAGATTTGCTACTGTGCTGTAATTCTTGCATTACCAAGGCCCAGTGGGGTGAATAAAAGGTGGGAGTGTGAATATGAAAATAATTTTCTTAATTTTATCATTTTGATTTTAATGAACATCCTTAATTTGAGTCCTTGACCATTCTGAGTACTGTACACAATGGTTTGTCCAAGCAGAATTTATAACTCTACCTCTGGGAAAGACATTGTTCTGCAGCTTTCACGGAATATATATTACAGCATTTTGTGGATGAGACCAATTCAGAATTAGTAGTAAATGCAACGGTTTAGTTTAAGAAAATTGTAGAGCTTCTGAGAGCCAGGAGCTATATTAAAATGAGTCCAAGTAGTCACCGTTCTGAGGATTAACTTTTCCTGATCCAATCCCTACTGTATGAGTTATTACTTTTAGAATATGAATTTTGCTTTAGCATTCTAACCCTGCCTGACTTTTATAGAATCTTAGAGGTTGTTTACATTACATCTGGATATGCAAAAAGTAGCTTCTAGCAGCATAATTTTGGTTTGCTCACAGGCATTTTTTTTTTCAAATTTGTCCATGAATTAAACTAAGAACCATAATCATTATAATGGTAAATTCATTGCTAACTGAGAACAGATTTTTGTTCACTGAGTAGAAATCTCTTGATGCTTATTATGAAATGCTCTGTATAATTACAACTTGCAGAAATTGTTTTTCTACAATCCTGTTCATTCCTCTAGAAAAGCGTTTTAAACCAGACATTTATTGTTTTGTTAAGTTTTTTAAAAGGGGGAAAAAACACTTTTTGAGCATTGTGTGAGTGAACTTAATTAACAAGCAAAAAATGACATTATCAGCTCAAATGAAAGCAAAGCAGAGATGAGGACACAAAAGTGGTTTACAATAAAGAAAATTATCTTGCTATAGTAAATAGTAAAATCAAACCAGAATTGATATTTAATTACTTTTGCTTTGTAATACAAATAGTTTTAGGCAAAACCTCTTTTTAGACAAAGGGAATATGAACTAAACTGCTTGCATACAGGGTTAAGCATTAACTCCCTAGAAAGTAAACCCTCATTAGCATCCTTTCAGTTGCCATTAGGGTGATAGTCATCTATAGTGCAAAGGAAATTCTGAAAATTATCCCAGCTTTGGCTCGGGCTAGTACTAGATTTCCCATGGCCTTGTACGAAATAAGACCTGTGGGCAGAGCTTAGTGATGAAGTCACAGCTAATAATATATTTGACTCTAGGCGGAGTTTGCAGATACCTTGTACAGTCACTTCCCTCTCACCCCAGGAGGGGAAGGGCCATTTGAAGGGAAGGAAGGAGTGCCATTGCCCTTGGCTCTCTCACACTTGCTTCCCACTGTCTTAGATACGTGATCTCTAGGCACTTCCTCTGTCCCCCATTCCAGGTGGCTGCTTCTCTTGCCCCTGAGTTCAGCAGAGCCCGCTGCACTATTGGAAGCCTCCTTTAAGGTGCTGCTGCAAATGCATCAATTGTTATAGTAGATAACACTGGTCTTTGGCTGATCTGCAGGCATTTGGGGAAGGCCCCACAACTTATTTCTGGGGGAGGCAAACCCAATCACTCTGCTGGAATAATGGAGGAGGAACACTCTGAGGGGCTTCCTCTCTCTGAACTACATCCAGTGGGTTTTAATATCTGAGAAGATTGTTATGAAACATTCAGAGTCAGTTACATGGTGGGATAACACAAGAATGGATTGTTTTGATTTAGCGGAAGGGGTTTGTGTCATAACGCAGAGGTTCTCAATGCGGCACCAGCAAAACTGTGGCTATATGGGGTTTGTTTTCTCCTGAATTTGTTCAATATCCATACTGTTTGTTCTTTGAAAGGCAGAAATGAAAGAATGGGCACATTTACCAAGAAATTTGATTTCATACGAACTTCAGGCTTCAGTTAATTTTATCCTAAGTAACCTTTTAAAATGTAAATCAGTGCTTTGGTCCTCTGTTAACATAGGGTACGTCCACAGAACAGTTAAACACCTGTGGCTGGCCTGTGTTATTTGACTTGGGCTCGTGGGACTCTGGCTGTGGGGCCGCAAAACTACACTGTAGACATTCGGGCTCAGTCTTGAGCCGCGGTCTGGGATCCTGTGAGGGGGGAGGGTCCCAGACCCCGGGCTCTAGCCTGAGCCCAAACATCTACACTGAAATTTTACAGTTTGGCAGCATGAGTGTCACGAGCCCGAGTCAGCTGACATGGACCAGCCATGAGTGTTTAATTGTTCTGTAGACGTACCCTATGTTAACAGAGGACCAAAGCACTGATTTACATTGTGAAAGGTTACTTAGGATAAAATTAACTGAAGCCTGAAGCATTGCGGAATACTGTTGCCAGTCACTCAACAGGAACAATTCTGTAAATGCTGTCCCACTGGCACCTCATTCGTATCAGTGAGGTGTTAATTGAAAACTTAGTTGTGGCCATTTAAAGAAAATATTATGTAGCATTCGAACCTCATCTGAGGTAGCTTTTAAAAACACAGGGCCCAAGACACCCAAGACAGTGTCACTTCAATCACTGGGGTTCTATGTGTGACAGTGCATTAGGCCTATCTGTATTTATGGCCTCCCTCTCATTTCATAAGATGTCACTTTTTTCACTGGTTTGAATGGGCCACCTGCCTGTCTTTGTCACATTACTTGAATTGAAAGATTAAGAGGCTTTTTGACATCAAAATGTCTTCACTGCAGTGTTGCCTACGGATT